GTCGCCAATTGAAATCATAGTCTTGACGCAGCTTACCGCAGTCGCACACGGCGCATGTTGCATCATCGAGTCCGGACGGTCCAAGAGTCAATCTCAATCAATGCAAAACCTCATCTTTCGTGCTAGTACTCACGAGGCGTAGAGTTGGAGCACCACCGTCTAGCCAAGTTTGATGCGGTTCACCGATGGATTGACACAGTTCGTTGTCACCGACAGCCGAACGGGCACGTAGTTGTCGCTCACGCTGTCGCTGCAGCCTTTCAGCTCTCTGCTCAGGGCTCTCGCGTGCTCGATTACGCTGGACAGCGAGCCTATGCAGTTTTCTTCGTTCTTCAGCGCTGAAGACCATGGGCAGTGACCAACATATACGGCAGTGGTGGATAATGAATGCTACTCAAACCGAAGCTGTCAGCAGCAACGCGATAACACCGCTGACGGTTCACTAAGCACGTTGGCAAACGGCAGTCAATATAGGACACATTCTCAAAGTCTTGGGAACCGGCCAACAGCAGCAGCTGCCCCTGGGCACATTCACAAAAGCTCCAAACTCCAAAGATGAACAGATATACTGCCTTGTTCGATATAAACGCATATCGCAAGAGTGCAACGACCAAAAAGGTCTCGTCGCTCGGCTCAAACCCGCTCATCAAAAATTACGGAGCCTTGTCGAGAACGATTGTCAAGACTGCAAGAATCGATCTAATGTAAGTCGTACAAACCGTTTTTTCTTGGGGTTGGATGCTGCGATTGGATTTCGAGATGTTGCGCACGGTTTCGTGTTCCAATCACACCTCGACAGCATCTTGACCCGCATAAACACTCAAATCTCTGTTGCGAGTACATAGAACGTTTTTAGGCAAGCAATAGCTGCATGTAAGCGCAGCGCCACACCTCAGTTTCGGCAGAAACGAGGTTGTAGTCAAACGTGATCTCGTCGCCGGCCCTCACACATCGATTCGCGAACAAACCACAGCGTTCCTGGCCGCGAACGCTCCATTTCTCAACCTGACAATTGGGATCGCATGAATGGTTTACAAACCGCATGCGACCACCTATACGGGTAGCGTCGATGATTGCATCACCGTTAGTTTGCATCATGTAGGAGTGTCATTCACCGCGATACAGCTACACTTCTCAGTGTTAGAATCTCGTAAATTGCGAAATGATTCGGTCAACACCTTACCTTTGATCTTAACTGAGCCTCTCGACGTCCCAATAACTCGCCGACGTACTCGCCGACGAGACGCCCTTCAGCGATGTATTCGAGGGCAATAATTTCGACTCCTTTCAGGCCACAATCAATGCCGGCGGTTTTTAACGTCGTGCCCTGTTGTAGCTGACGATTGCTACAGCGGTCTCCACAGGGGCAGCTCTCGACGGCACATTCGAATCGCATCTACCGATAACCATCACAACGATATCTTATAAACTGGAGTTCACAGTAACTAAACACACCCAAGCGTCACTTGCAGAACGATTTAAACACCGCTCCCTGCATCCACGCACCTCGCCTTCATCAAACTCGCACATACAAACAGGAGCATCGCTCTGCAACACGAACAAGTCACATATTATGATCAAACTCGAATAGCTAACAAACAACTTACACTTGGGCGTGCGAGCCAATCGTCACCCATGCTCATGTTTGCCTTCACGATGCGGACAGTCTCGAACGCTCGATCGACAGCACCGGACTTTGTTCAGTCATACTCTAGTGCCACAAACCTGGTTCTCAAGTGGGAACAGGGCGGCGCGACAAGAATGCGGTGCCGCGCCTGCGACGAGAAGAGAAAAGACTCTTGTTAGGCTGCTGTCGTTGAACTGCTCCAACGTCCTCGTCGCACACGATCAAGAACTGGCACCATAAAGCGTTCATGAATCCTTCGTACTTTCATCTGCCGATCGCAAAGTCCCTTCCCGTAGCAGCCATATAGAAGAGCTCACAGTCCATTCAGCCCGAGAGAACACACCCTCCCTTCGACGGCAACGCCACCAAAGAAACAGCGCGAGAGAGACGCAGCCGATAAGCATGCAGCGGACAACGTGATGGCCGGGCCTCGTTCGACACCAACGATGACGCACGATCTGGCATGGCCCATGATCGATCAACCCACGACGAGATATCAGTCTCCTCTAAAAAAAAAACTCAAGATCACGATTGAAAAACACAAAAGAATGGTTTTTGATACAGTCGACGGCAAGTAATTATCAACATGACATGCATCACAACGACTACTCCACATACTAACGAACACTTGCTGTCAAACAGACCTGCGCGAGTTCATCATGCACATCGACGACAACGACAAGGACGTGTGCATCAAGGCGCGTCTTCTTTGGATTGCATCCGACACAGTCCGCGGTCTACACTTCCTACGACTCTACTTTAGTGAATGGCAGCCGCCGGAGCCGTTCAAAGAGCAGGAACAGGTAATCAACCATAGAAAACATGAACATACCGCACTCTCACATGATATCTGCATCAGGCATTCAAGCAAGCACAGCAGGACGACCCGTTCGAAGCGAATCAGTTTCTTATCTCTGTCTCGCTACTCAATGTGGATATGGATGACCCTAAGCCCAGGGGAGGTAGTGATGATCACACCATACAAACTCAATGTCTACCACAACTGCTGTCAAATCCATTCCAAACTCTACGGGCTCACTAAGGTCAACATCTCGTGAAGCTACTCAACATTGCATCAAGTAGTGTCGGCACACCGTTCAAACATCTCGCAGCAGCCAACCAATTTGTGAGCCGCTTACTCATTTCATTTTGTCAGTTCATCAACTCATGCTTTTCTGTCAACCCATTCATTACCATTTTCGTGCTCATAAAAAAATATTTGAAGTTTGAGAACTACGCTTCTCGGGCTCCAGCCCGTACGCCAATCCTAAGATACAGTTGTGACGTTGTGATAAAGGTGGAGTAACGAGAGTCGTGAACAGGCTCTCGTGGACACGTAATTGGGGATAGTTCAGGCGTGGATGGCTCAATTTTGTCCTGTTGATGTGTGGAATATCCACGGGAGGTGAATTTGGATATCGTTAGACGAACCAACAATCCGCTGGAGAGATAAACACTACTATTCCGTCAGCTCACCTGAGTCTAGCTGCTTTTGTTGGCACCATCGATATCTTTTTTTCTCAGTGGTACGTACAGGTATAAGATAAGATCACTCATCGCGAGCCGTTCCTCCTCAACAAGGTGTTGTTGTTCTCCTCGTGTTAGTTCAGCTTACACGCCAACAACTCAGCGGCGAGAACAGGATGTAGGACACAGCTCCTCCGGTAGACGCCCTCGACGATGTATAAAGGTGTAAGTACCCTAGTTCTACCCTACTTTGTCGTAGAGCATCGAGATTAGCTACTGCGCGCCGAAATGTTGTTATTAGGATGGCCAGATGATATATTTATATTTATTTATATATATATATATATTTACCGATTTTGTTCAATGATAAAAGCATACTTAAAAAATAAAAACCTTTTATTTAGTTCCCTTTTTAGTTATTTTTTTAGCCATTCTGGTCTGTCTTCAATTTGTCCAGAATTCATTGTCGCCAACAACAATCATAGAATTTGGCGCGAAGAGCCGCAAGAAATTCAAACCTCGTATTTAGTTTTGCTTCAGACAACATCGTCCACCTAAGCTACCTGGATTGCTGACGTCGTTACGCACCTAAAATGGCCGTCTTAGCCTAATGTTTCTCGTGCTAACTGCTTCGCCGCCCGCGGCCATATCCGTTACGTTCTGTGGTGCACCCGTGGCCGCACTACTATCGCTGCTCGAGGCCATTGAAGACCCAAACGAGCTTTCCAACATCGGGCACACTGAACTACACGAATCCAGCGGTCGTTGTGGCCATCTTACCCACAGTATCGCTACCGACATTGCCCGTGGTCATTTGAAACGCTACCGTCGTTCCCTACCACACGAGTTTGGAGCTCGTTGTGCCCGCCATTCCATCGGTGGTATTCGGTTATCGGATGCATAGGTTATCCGAAGCCGCGGCAGGCTGAGCACCCTAT